GCATTGACTTTTGGGATTCCAATTTTGGAGTGGATCCTCCTCGCTAAATTATCTTTGTTTACCTTTGAATTTGAATTGAAATCCCAATTTGAATTGCATTCTATTCCAGGCCTGACTGGTTACCCCTGAACCCCATTTATTTTTAAGAGGAGAGAAGCTTTGCCTTTGTAGATTTTCTCTAAATTGTCTTTGTTTACATTGACTTTGAATTGAAATCCCAATTTGATTTTTATTCTGGGCCAGGCCTTTCTCCCTGACTGGTTCCCTCTGAACCCCATTTATTTTAGCTTTTCCTCTTCATATTCTATCTTCCACCCTATATTTACATCTCTCACTAGCCCCCACCTTTGCAGATTTTCCCTAAATTATTTTTGTTTACATTGACTTTGAATTGAAATCCCAATTTGAATTTTATTCTGGGTCAAGCCTTTCTCCCTCACTGATTCCCTCTGAACCCCATTCGTTTTAGCTTTTCCTCCTCATATTCTATCTTCCGCCCTATATTTACATCTCTCACTAGCCCCCCACCTGTTGCAAGGTCCCTCTTTTCCTCTTCTGGCAATGGCTGTGGATCCTGCCCTTCCTTTTGAGGGCGCCAAGGCCCCTTCCTCCTCCAACGGAGCCGTATCCGATGGCCTTCCTCCTCCGGCTTCCCTTCGAAAGGGCTCCCCTTCTTGCTCCCGCCGCCTGGTCCGCCTCCTGCGTGGCAACCTGCTGGTGGTGCTGACGGTGGCCGGCGTGGCGCTGGGGGTGGCTCTGGGCCTGGCGGTGCGGAGTCTAGCCCCGGCCCTGGGCCCCTCGCAGGTGCCCCTCTTCGCCTTCCCCGGAGAGCTGCTCATCCGCCTCCTGAAGATGATCATCCTCCCGCTGGTGGTCTGCAGTCTGGTGGCCGGCGCGGCCAGCCTGGACCCAGCGGCCTTGGGCAAGCTGGGCGGATGGGCCATGCTCTTCTTCCTGCTGACCACCCTCCTGGCCTCCTCCGTCGGGGTGGCCCTGGCCTTCCTCATCCAGCCCGGAGAAGGGGCCGCCAACCCCGCCGCTCTGTCCGGTGGATTCGCCGAGGACGTCCCCGAAGCCAAGGAGGTGGTGGACTCCTTCCTCGACCTTATACGGTGAGACACTGGCTAGTAAACACACATTGTGGGCCAAAGTTGGCCCAGGCCTGCCCTATGTCCTTGCAGTCACCATAAACACTCAGGAAGGGGCCTGAGGCTGTTAGGAATGGTGGGAGTTGGAGTCCAAAACACCTGGAAGGAGGGTCCAAGTTGGCCCAGGCCTGCCCTATCCTTACAGTCACCATAAACACTCAGGAAGGGC